AACTCAAAGAGATCTACAAATTTTGCTACTGCTGAGGATTGAATCAATCAATCAAACTGCTGTGGCCTTGGGTTAAAACATACCACATCAAAAATTTAGCATCATTTATTAAATTATCCATTCTTGATCTTTTCTGTTGCACTAGATACTCTCCGCTTCTTAAAATCTATACCTATGTTTGTGCATGTGTTTGATTTCACATTTTTATTATTTCTCTTGGGATTATTAAGCAACAAAATTCCTCTTTTGTTCACTCAAGGAAACCTTATAACTGACTCTTAATCTTGACTAGTACTAGGTTTTAATTGAAGTGTGATGTAGCTGTGTGCTTAATAGAATTAAAAATCTTTTGTTATGGTGAGCAGATGGTTTTAAAAGACAGAAGGCAATTTACCTCCTTCTCACCTGATCATCACATTATTTTGTTTCCTTCCTAAAATACTCTTGGCACATATTCCAAAACCCTGGCCTATTATTGGACGCTCTCACTTAGTACGTGCTTTAGCATAAAGTTGTGAGTGCAATATCTGCAACTTCCTGCACTTTAAGGTGTTTGGGTGGAAAATTATGATCAGAATATCAACAACCTTTCAATAAGCCATCTTTTGCATTCAAGACCTGCACTGTAAAGGTTGCAGCTGTAACTGTTGTGTAGTTGTTCTGACTTGTGAATATGTCCATCCTCTGGTGAATAATGACTTGTATTAATTGTTACACTTTTACATAACTGGGTAAGAGAGAACATTGCTAGAATCTCACAGGCTCAGTCCTAGTTCCAGGTGTATGTTGATGTCTGCAGGCTTCACTGATTATGTATACCAATCATTAGCATAACACACTTAACCATTATATTACACTTTCTCCCAAGTCTTTTATTCAATCCTTTTGCATCATTATCATTTAACTATTGAAATTTAACTCATAATATTTCTCTAAACATTTAGCTATTAACATTTCTCTCTATCACATTGCCCACACCCACATCGTTGCTTTTTGACACCACTCTTACTCATCTTCGAAAAAATGGGACACGGATTGTTCTTTTAGTGGAAAAGCAGAATCTTGAGCAGCCTTGGTGTCTAAGCTTATATCTAGGGCTTAATTGTCATGATGACCTTAAGACAAAGGCTTGAAAGGTGTCAACAAAGGATGGATTTGGGAGGCAAGCTGTCAGCACCTGAAGGAAGAAAAGACAAGAAGGGGAAAGTGAAGTGGCTGGAGTTCAAGAGTTCTTTGTACTCTGCTCCACACCTGAGAAGAAACCCTAATGCCGATTTTGGGAAATAGAGCAATTGAACTTCCAGCACTATGTCTTAGATTGATGATGATGGAGGAACAATTAAATTCCACTTCTGCAAACAAGGAAGTACGATGGCCAGAAAAGTGTAGATTCTCTTATGGGCCAGTTCATGGGACTGCTAGGGTGGGCCTCTGAGTTAGTTTAAGTTATGGGGTCACTTGCCTATTTTCAGGAGCTTAGCAGCGCTCTAGAGGGCTAGCTGATCTCTCTGAATCCTGGGTAGGAATGTCTCCCCGCTGTTATAACCAGTCCTCAGGTGATGTTTCTCAATTTATTACTGTCCCAGATGGGATGCACCAAATTGTTAAGCTCCCACCTGAGAAGAGATGAACTGGTTCCTCCTTTCTTTAATCACCCACTCTCTCAGTTGGTCACAAGTTTAATTCAAAAATGGAAGTCTTCTCTTATGGTTAACCAAGGAAGATGAGGACAGTATCAAATTTAATGAAAACAAACAAGTAATATAATGTGACAAAGATTTATGATGAATCAAAAAAGCTTGAAAAACTTGGAAGTTTAAAAACTAACAAAAGAATTACTCAAAAAGCAATGAAGAGGGAGAAAATATACCATGAGGGCAAACTAGTAAGCAATAATAATTGAGCAGCAAGAGCTTCATTAAATGCATAAAAAATGCCAAAGTGAACATAGACCCATTAGAAAATGAGGCTGGGATTATAAAAGTAGGGAACCTGGATTGGAAGAAGAGTTGAATAAATACTTTACATCAGTCTTCACAGTAGAGGTCATTAAAAGTATTCCAAAAATATTAAACAATCAAAGGACTAGAAAGGGAAGGGTTAGCAAGTAAACACAATAAATGTTAGGAGAGAAAAAGTGCTCAGGAAGTTCATGGGACTGATGGGTTGAATAATAAGATTTTAAAGAATGTTGCAACAGAGATACTGGACACGCTGGTAGTTATCTTCCTAGAATCCATAGATTCTTAGGCCAGTGAGCATAGCATTTGTCATTGGGAAGATGTTAGAGTCTATTATAAAGGATGTAATAGAAGAGCATTTAGAAATACTTAAATAGTTAAGCAGAATCAACATGACTTCATGAAGTGAAATCATGCCTGACAAATTTGTTAGAGATTTTTGGGGAAGTAGCAAGCAGGATAGACAAAGGGGAACCACTAGCTGTAATATATTTGGAATCCCAAAAGGCTTTCAATCACACATAGGATTACTTAAAAAGATAGTAGCCCATGCCGGTAGGTTGTATACTAACATGCATATAGGATTGGCTAAATAATAGAAATCAGAGAGTTAGGATAAAAGGGGCATTTTCAGGATGCAACTTGCAACTGGTGGAGTGCCACAGAGTTTAGTGCTAAGCCCATAATTAATTACAATATGTATTAATGACTATGATAACGGAAGAGAATGTGATATTGCCAATTTTTGTGGAAGACACAAACATAGGTGGGAAAGCAGTGATGAAAATTACACAAGAGCCTACAGTGGTGTATAGACAGGTTAAAAGAGTGGGCAAAAAAATTAGCAGATGGAATAGAATGTGGAAAAATGTAAATTTATGCAGTTTGGCAAGAAGATTAGAAGTATATATGTTTAACTTGTTTAAATGGGGAAAAATTGCAGAAAGCTGTGGCACAAAAGAATTTGGGACTCCTCATCCATAAATCACAAAAACTTAGCATCCAAGTTCAGTGGGTAATAGCAAAGCTAATAGACTGTTGGCCTTCATTTCAAAGAGAATGGAATAAAAAAAAGGGAGCTCTTGCTAAAACAATACAAGGCATCAGTCAGACCACAGCTGTTATTCTGTGAAGTGTCTTGTCCCCCTGTCTAAAGAAATACATACTCCCATTGAAGGTTGTCCAGAGAACGTTCACTAGGTCCATACGAGGTATGAGGGGGTTTTCTTATGAGGATAGATTGAATAGATTGAGCTTGTACTCATTGGAGTTTATGAAAAATGAGTGACAAACTTATTAAAACATTAGACTTGTAGGGGGCTGAATAGGGTAGATGTGGGGAAATTCTTTCTCTTTGTGGGAGAATCCGGTATCAGATGGCATAATCTTAGAGTAAGGATCTCTCATTTAAGACAGAAATGATAGGAATTTAGGTAATGAATCTGCAAATTTTTACTGAAGAAGTTTGTGGAGGCTGTGTTGTTAAGTCTGTTCAAGGGCTCACATAGACATAAATTTTAATCAGTAAAAGAATCAAGGGGTTTTAGGGATAAGAAAGAAAGTAGAGTTGAGGATTATCAGATCAGCCATGATCTCATTGAATGGCAGAGCAGACTCAATGGGCCTCAAAAAGCCTATTTCTGCTCCCATATTTTATGGTTTTATATCATTTTAAACAGCAAATGTAAAATCTACTTGATCTGCCTACTCAGTCACATCCTACCAAGTTTCTCTGCAGACTTTGTCATCAGGCATGATTTTCCTTGAGTTGTAGTCAAGATAATGTTTCAATATTGAAATCAAAATTGGATCTTAGCTTTCTCAGTTTAAATTGGCTCCTTGCCTCCCTAATTGTAGCAGGAGCCTTGACCCAACCTGAGATTTGGCAAAGGGGTAGGGAGAATAGAGTTACCATGCATAGGGAGGAAACTTGGGTATTTTTAATCACTCACATGCACAAACGGAATTCATTGTTCCCCCTGGAGCTAAACTGGAGGATGAGGGAGGTTAGAAAAGTGTGATATGGAGACCCTGTCACCTTCCTGAAGCTCCTCAATTAATTCCAGAGCAAGAAGGGTCAAAAATAGTCTTCACTGGAGGCCATGTGGGGACTATACTACATGATAAAACTGTCAGGTGAACCTTGTTGGTAATACAGTGGCTTTGTGTTTAGGAGCTTGGGGTGGAGTAGAGTGGAGTTCAAACTGCTGGCAACCCAATGGAGGGGTCCACAGAAATAGATCCCATGCCTTTCTCATTGCCCAACCCTCACTGGAACCTAGCTGACTGGCCCCAATGAACCCACTCTTATTTTCGTTATTTTCCAGGCATGATCATTTTATACTGCCAACTACAAAACTGTCAGTAGCATCTGCTTTTGGTAGCACAGGCAGTAATGGAAAACTGCAGGCCATTGATTGTCCAGCAGCTATTGGAGATGGGATATTGATCCACATTAACTTGTGACAGGAAATGGAGCAAGGAATTCTGACTGCCACTAATTAGCTACCCCATTGGGAGTTAATCCTAAAGGGACTCCCAGAAATGGCCACGGCAGTATGCCTAAATTCCATCTATTTTGACCTCAATATGTTTTGAAAATTCATGCTCACTGATTTCGGAATAATCTTTTTTGAAACAAAGTAAATTTACTTAACGTAGTACTTCCAAAAATGGTTTCTGCTACTTTCTGTTGCATACATTGTAAAGCAAGGTTCAATAAAAGAGAGCTAGGAAATGATCTCAGGGGACATATCACTTTCATTAAGGTAGTAAAGTTTTCTTTACATTGTGGCTGTATTCCAATAAATTATGTTACAGAATTTTAATGGGTTAATTTTAAATCACCATTTCCTCCACTTTGCATTAAGAAAATGTCATTCCATTCCAATTTTTATGTGGCTATTTCTCAATGATTTGAAACAACTGACTTTAATTCTTCTCTCTCCCAGAATCTTGGTAATGCATTTTCAGCATTTTTTTTAAAGATTATGCACCAATCTTTCATTAATATTTTTGTGTTTTTTATTTCTTCCCTAGGCTTGGAGAGAATTGGGCGAAATAATTCTTATGAACAAGAAGGAAAAGTACTGTTTGTTATTGATGCAGTTTATGCCATGGCACATGCTCTGCACAACATGCACAAAGACCTCTGTCGAGGACATGTTGGGCTTTGTTCCAAAATGAACCCTATAGATGGCAAGGTCCTCCTTGAATATATCCGTAAAGTCAACTTCTCCGGTAAGTGTACAGAAGCATTTAGGCACTGAGTATTCTTGTTGGAGAGAGGGTCCAAAATTGGTCATGGCTGATATGGATATTTGCTACCTTAACTTGTAGATTTTATGTGTGCTTGCAGAATGATGCGCATTTACCATTTTCTGCATTGTGAAGTTTTAAAATGTTGAGTTTACATTAAATGGGATCATGGAATTACTGTTTTAGCTGCTTACATCCAATTGTTTGTGTTACTTACAAATAGTCTGAAAGATCTAATGGAACATTATCCAAATGTAAGCTGTAAGTAAAAGGTTTGGCAGAAATATAATATGAAAGGCTAAACACAGCATGCTGGGATTTTTCCAATTGTATTACCAGACGTTAATGGAAATGACTGTATTCACTTATCAAAAATTGCATTTCATTATGTTTGAATTTAATATGAGGCCAATTTCAGAATTATACATTATCAGTTGTAGATTACTGTGATTTCATCAGATGTATGTATTTTGTCATTACATGTGCAAACATTGGAAATATTATAGACAAGAAGTTATTGTTGCATTAGTAGAATGCAAATATTTGACATAAATTGTGTGGAATTACATTGTTCACAATTTTAGTACAGGGTTAACAAAAGTGAAATGAAAAAGTTAACAATTGTGTTAAAAATACAAAGGAATGCCATGTAAACAAGCTACAAAGTTATATGTTAAATGCTGCCATAGTCACCTCAAGACAAATACTTCTTATTTCTCTTAAGGATGATAATACATTCAGACTCATATGTCAGTCTGAGAGATAATTGCTACATTAGGTGCTGCGCTATTAAAAAGAGAAGACTGAATTATGTGCAAAATACAAGATAGACACTAAATGAGAAATGGACAAAAGGAAGAATGGAATCAACATTTTAAGGGTAAAGGCAATGCATTCTTCTAGACAGCTAAAAAGAAAAGCCAATTTGAAAAAAATAATTATATGCTACGCAATCAAGCAAGTCAGGAAATGTGATCTATTGACAAAGGAAAGTTAAAAAGAGATCTGATGAGAGAAAAAATGCTAGATGATGGATAATCACACAGAATGAAAATGGCCAAAGTGCTTTGCAGCTATAATTCTGGTGCTAGTTAGAAACTGTTCGAACCGGGTTTCCATGAACATGACTGTAGTGATTCTAACGAGGGCAGCCCAGGTGTGTTCCCTGATTGGCGTGTTAACCTGGTCCATGCAGGGAGCCCTGGCTGACAGATATAAACAGGAGTGTCAGAGATTCTGTTGACTTTAAGTGCTGGCTTTGAGGAAGCGTGTCAAGTACTATGCAAGCGTAAATAAAGGATGACTTGGTGATAGGATACCGGCCTCTGTGGGTTATTTCAGTGCGATTGTCCTGTGAGCAAAGGCCAAATAGGTTGGGACTGTACTCACTGGAGTTCAGAAGAATGATAGGTGATCTTATAAAAACACTGAGGATTCTTCAGGGGTTTGACAGGGTAAATGCTGACAGGATATTTCCCCTCATGGGAGAGTCTAGGACCAGAGTGCATGGTATCAGGATTAAAAAAGGTACCAATTTAAGACAGAGATGAGAAGACTTCTGTGGAGTTATTTCAATGACAAGGCTTTTAATTTGGTGGCCTCCATTATCGGTACTTGTAAACTTTCAGTTCTCTGTTTTCCTGCTAATCTGCCAAGATTTTCACGGATAGGTGTTGTCTCATTTCACTGCCAGTGGCATAATGTTTCTATTCACAGAAATCACCTTGAAATGACATTAAGACTAAATTTGATTGCTGGTTGTATTGTACATACTTCCATATCCACGTTCAAATTAGAGAACCAATGTGAAAGCAAACTTTGTCAACTCTTAATTTGTCAAGTATCTGCCTAGAAGATGACAGAATCCATAAGGTGGTAGCAATTTACCTTCACTGCAGCATAAAATGGAAACTACGTTATATAATTTGGCAACCATTCAAATAATGTGCTATCATACTTTAGGTAAAATGTAAATTTGACTATTTTCATAAATTGAGGTTCAATACATCCATATTCATTATGAACCTTCCTCATAGAACATTTTTTAAAACGAATGTCCATTGCAAAACACATTAACTATTCTCAGAACTATTGAAACCGACGATTTTACTGAATTTGGATTTCATGTAGTACCGCAGCAAGTTGCAAAATAAGGCCACCAACAACACTTAAATAATATATTCTCCATTGTTTTTCATTATCATGGTAACAAACACTTAGAAGTTAAAACATCAGTCATGAGCCACACATATAATTTTAGGTGCTAAATTATCTTGACTTTGATGCGACCCACAATTTTGAAAGGATAACTTAGTTTCGTATTAAGGAAGGGTAATAGTGTACTTAGGAAATTCATTAGTTTTCATAATTAGGACTGGAATGAATCAAATGACCCACAAAATTGTTTCAATTTCTACACAAATGCATTAAAAAGAGGCCAAAGAACTCCATCTCCTAACTTTTATGGGTATATTACCACTCAATTAGAGCAAGCAGATAATCATATTAAAAATTCTGACACCAAACTCAGAAGTAAAATGTACAAATTACCTTTCACTTATGGGTAAATAGGAATAGAAGTTAAGCATTCAACTACTTGAGCCTGCTGTGCCAGTTACTAAGATTATGGCTGATTTGTTTGAATTCCAAATCCCACATTCCCATACAACCCACAGAATCTTTGACTCCCTTGTCTAAGAGGAATTTATCCACCTCTGCCTCCACTGCTTTCAGAGGTTCAGAGTTCCAAAGTATACAACACTCTTAGAGAAAATGTTTCACCTCATCTATGTCCAAAAATGGCAATCCCAAAATTCAAAATTGTGTCCCCTAGCTTTGGACTGACCTACAAGGAGAAATATCCTTTCTACGTTGATTTTGTCCAGACCATTCAGGATCTGAAATACTTCAATTAAGTTGTCCCTCAATCTTCTAAACTTCAGTCGAAACAAGCTCACTATCCAACCTATCCTCATAAGATAACACATTGACTCCAGTTATCCATATAGTAACCTCCTCCGAATCACTGCTGATACATTTACATTCTTCATTAAATAAGGAGACCGACACTGCACACTGTACTCGAGATGTGGTCTCACCAATGCTCTGTATAACTGAAGCATAACATTCTTACTATTATATTCGATGCATTTTGTAAAAAGAAAAGATAACATCTCATTAGCCTTCATGAATACATGCTGTGCCTTCCGTACCAACATTTTGTGACTCACTTTTTATAGCTACACTTCCAATAAATTTTACAATGAGAAGTATAAAAGTGGCATGTACATATGAGAAGTAGACATAGAATCATAGAGACATACAGCACGGAAACAGACCCTTTAGTCCAACTCATCCATGCTGACCAGATATCCTAAATTAATTTAGTCCCATTTGCCAGCATTTCGCCCATATCCCTCTAAACCCTTCCTATTCATATACCCATCCAGATACCTTTTAAATATTAAAAACCAAAAGAACTGAGGATGCTGTAAATCAGGAACAAAAACAAAGTTGCTGGAAAAGCTCAGCAGGTCTGGCAGCATCTGTGAGGGAGGAAACAGAGTTAACGTTTCGGGTCCGGTGACCCTTCCTCAGAACTGATGGTGGCTGGGAAAACGTCAGTTTATATGCAGAAAATAGCGAGGTGGGTGGGGTAGGGAGTAAACGATAACATAGAGCCCAAAGAAAGAGAAAGACAGTTGGACAGACAAAGGAGTTGCTAACGATCAGGCTGGGAGGGTGAATAGTTGTTAATGGGGACTGTTAGTGACTAACAACAGGGGGTGTGTAGTGGCAGGCTATGTGGTAACAAGGCCTGGTGTGTGGGGTGTGGGGCTGGGACATGGGAGAGTTTAGGCCCGAAAATTATTGAACTCAATATTGATTCCGGAGGGCTGTAGGATCCCCAAGCGGAAAATGAGGTGTTGTTCCTCCAGCTTGTGTTGGGCTTCACTGGAACACTGTAGCAAGCCGGAGACAGAGATGTTGGCCAGAGAGCAGGGTGGTGCATTGAAGTGGCAGGCAACAGGTAGTTCAGGGTCTTTTTTGCGAGCAGAATTTTCTGCTTGGGGACCCTACAGCCCTCCGGACTCAATATTGAGTTCAATAATTTTAGGGCCTAAACTCTCCCATGTCCCAGCCCCACACCCCACACACCAGGCCTTGTTACCACATAGCCTGCCACTACACACCCCCTGTTGTTAGTCACTAACAGTCCCCATTAACAACTATTCACCCTCCCAGCCTGATCGTTAGCAACTCCTTTGTCTGTCCAACTGTCTTTCTCTCTCTTTGGTCTCTATCTTATCGTTTACTCCCTACCCCACCCACCTCCCTGTTTTCTGCATATAAACTGACGTTTTCCAGCCACCATCAGTTCTGAGGAAGGGTCACCGGACCCGAAAATTTAACTCTGTTTTCTCCTCCACAGATGCTGCCAGACCTGCTGACCTTTTAAATATTGCAATTGTACCAGCCTCCACCACTTCCTCTGGCAGTTTATTCCATATATACATACGGTCTGCATGAAAAAATGTTCCCCCTAGGTCCCTTTTAAATCTTTCACCTCTCACTTTAAGCCTATGCCCTCTAATTTTGGACTCCCCTACCCTGGGAAAAAAGACGTTGATTATTCGCCCTATCCATGCCTGTCCTGATTTTATGAACTTCTATAAGGTCACCCTCTCAGCCTCTGATGCTCCGGGGAAAATAGCTCCAGCATATTCAGCCTCTCCCTTATTCTAAACAATTTTTAATAGTGCATTTAAACCACGTTTTATTTTTTTCAATTAAACCTAAACATTATCCAGGTATGAAATTATTTTTGTCACAACCAAACACATTCGGTAACAGTAGTTCTAAACCTTTACATTGTTAAAAACTGGCCAACCTCAGTAATGAGATATAAACTCTTTGAGGTGCATAATTGTAAAACAAGAACATAAAATTGTAAGCTATCATCAGTTAAGTGATTTCTAAAC